ATTTTTTTAATCGACTTTCCGATCAAATTTTAAGTTGAAAGTTTGTGAATATAATCTAAACTTCATATAGAATACGTTTACAAAACTAAATCAAGAAAAAACCCACTAGGAAATGTCTCAAATCATGGCGGCCGAACGGCAGTTCTGTTAATGATGTCGTGACTAGAATATTACTCTATCATGGAGCATTAATTTCCAAATAAACTACAAATAATATTATCATTCCATTTAGAGAGCATATGTATATTTGGAATGTTTTATAATATTAGATTTCATTCCATCTTTTATAATGCTTCATCAAATTAGTTACAGAAAATCATGCATAATTTGTAAAACTTTCATTCGTTATTTTGAAATACTTTATATAATTTGTTGCAATAAAATATGTATATTTGAAAAACTTTGTATAGTTCATATTCCTTTCACCTTATATACTAATACCATATGTCATGTTCATTTGATGCACGGATGACCAATAATATGTGATCGAGAACCATTTATTTAATTCTAATATAATACGTATAACTTTTCTTAACAAGGTTGATTTAGTAATTTTATTTCATATTTGTACAGTGTTATTCATATGCACAATATCTTTTTCTATTCTACAATATTGAGTTGTTTTTAAAAATAATAGTTTTTTTAAAAAAAACATATAAAAGAATAAATTGAATTTTCAAAAATAAAGTGAGTTTTATGTTAGTATTTAGTAATAAGGTTATAATGATTAGTTTTCCTTATAAGATAATCCAATTAAAACAATAATGTCTGTTGAAAATATTGCCGGAGTTCGTCAAAAGTCGTCGGAGTTTCGCCGGAGTTCAACCGAGAGGGGTAGAACTTCATAGCGCTAATTCGAGGTGAGGATGACCGAATATATTGCTTATAATTATTGGGTTAATTTCATAAGATTAACTAAGTAAATTAAATGTGATTTGCATGAGTTATTAATAATTAATAATGCCTAAATGAAAGTACTATTGTTTATAAATAGAAGATGCATAATATACAAATTTATGAATAAATTGTGTATGATTATGTGTTATGAATATGATGGCATGATGGTTGTACTAACCATAAATTTGATTATGATAAATATACTTTTACTTCATGTAAAGAAGTCATGAAAGGATAAAAGTGACATTTTGATATTAAAGCCAAATTATACTTGGATGAGGAATTCAATTGAAATTAATGAACGGCTATGAAATAAGAACTTGGTTGCACTAAGGTCAAACGACTAGTATTGAAATACTAGTCGGAAATGTTAGTTCAAATAATTGTTAGAACTAATCCTAAGGTATTGAATTGTGAGGAATACGCCCTAAGTAGCTGTAAGAGATATTTTAAGGTGGACTTTATGAACTCTAAATTATATTAGGGGTAGGCCTTAAAGGTTACTCAAAATGAATGGAGTCTAGACTAAGAAATTGCTTAGGGATTAGATAACGTGACTATGAGCGAGGCTCTAGCACGTAATAGCGGTGACTATGAGCAAGGCTCTAGCCCGATGTAAAAGTGATTATGAGCATGGCTCTAGCACAATGTAGTATGACTATGGGCCGGACTCTAGCATAAAGTAGCGTGACTATGAGCAGGGCTCTAGCGCGTGAAACGATATTTAATGAATGAGGTTCAACTATAATATAATAATACCCTAGATTTAGGGTCTTAGAAATTGAAACAATGATTATATTTAGTATACTTGTCATTGTACTTTTCAAATGCTTCAAAGTACTAACTTCTCCTTCACGGGGGAGGTCACCTCACAGTTTCAGGTAGAACTTGAAGATATTAGCCACCTAAAAGCATGTTAATTTACATTATCTATGATATGCAAAAAAAATATAAATATCAAACACATTGATTTTTTACATCAAGTGCATTTTTTTAATGACATACAAATACTAGGTGTCTAGGAGAACATTTGAACATTTTAAGTAGACATTGTTATATGACATAATTATTGTATGATGAAAAGCTAAACTCATGGTCATCACTCACAGAGTGTACCGCATAAGAATACTTACGTAAGTGTCCAAAGCTAATGTTGACTTAGTTGTCATGTGTAATACTCTTTACCAGACTTAGTTTAATGAACAAAAGAGATAGTAATTGTAATTAGTATCAACTCGTTAAACTCACCCCCCTCCCCCCGTCCCCCACCCCTATAAATGCAACCTTCCATCCCGTTTCATCCACTAAGCTGCACTCAGGTGCCATATCTTTGGTTATGGTGTAACTAGTGCACGAATTGAATTATGGTGTCCGCTTGTTAAAGTATGAACTTCATGAAGGTTTTCGGTATTTTTTGTTAGGAATTTAGTAAACATCTAGATGGTTATTTTGTTTATAACCAGAGCACGAATTTAATGACTTTATTTGATTATTTTGTCAATCTTGTAATTCGTTTATTTTATGTATGGAACGAGCGAAGGACTGGGAGTTAGTTGAAGTTAAAGATAAATTAATGGATAAGGAATGGATGAAATTAAAAGATCGTGAGGTGCTCCGGAATACTTGCATGGGATACAAAAATTTCTTGATTATGCATTTTAACCCATTTTCCTTTGGAGGAAGCTGTCAAATCTCTTCTTTCTTTTCGGTGGCTGGTAAAGCCAATATGCTTGAATTAATTTATCTCCTTTTAATGACAATTTGTTTTATTTTAGTTATCATTACAATAACAGGCTCAACAATGTTGTAAGAGTAGACTACATATATGTGTAATTAGCGAATCTGATTGGTCCTTGGTGGCTTTTCGATTCTATGTCTCATCTCAGTGTAGCCTTGTGCTATTGTATTGCTTCGTTTCTTGTTATTTGTTTGAGAAAAAAACATTACCTATTTATTCATGCAGCTTAAGGGAAGCAACTTAGGATGTTTGGGATTGTACTGGTTTCAGTCCTAAACCAGATGAGATCAAGCTTAAACATATCAGATCTTACCAGAACAAATAAGTTCAAACTAGAATTCAATAATTCTAAAATACACATAGAACATTATCATTCAAAGCAGGCCAATCTAATTCAAATCAGACCAAACTTAAATAGACCAGACCAAACTAGAAAACTATAATCCATTTAAAAACTTTGTTACTTGAAATTAAGCCTACTTAGGTCTTGAAAAGAAGTTACTTGAAAACCTTTTTTTTCTTATCTTTCTTCTCTTTTTGGCATTGATATCATGAATCAATTCATGTTGACCCAAAAATCTTTTGGAAATAAGGTTTGGATGTTGTTGTAGTTATTCTTGGTTCTATCGCACATAATGTAGGTTTTAGTTCTAGAGCCATTAATGATTGGTGAACCCGTAAAGATTGGAGACACATGTTATTACTTTCCATTTCCATCTTTCATGTGCAAAGATTAGATATGAGTAGAATTAATTAATATGTAGTATAACTTAATTTGGAAAAGTATACATGCATAATATTCCACTGTCTTAGTTTTTGGATGATTTAATTTAAGCTCCTAAGAATTTAGGCTGGTTTGCCCATCCCGATTATCCTCTGACTCGGCAGTATAATGGATGAGTAAATTCTTTGTGAATTAGGTGTTAAAGGGCCTAGCTTAGACGGTAGATAAATGATGCACAAAGGGTAAGTTGTGGGCTCAAATTCTGACAACTGTGACGATAGATTACTATATAAAATGTATAAAGCCTTTGCATGTATTTGAACAAGACTCTTTCTCGCTATCTGTCGGTTTATGATTAAAATTCAATGAGTTAATTATCAAAATAGGACTAAAAGTCATTCACTTTGCACAAATAGGACCAAAAAATAAACTATGTTTCCATAGGACTAATTATGTGTGTCTTGGACAAATATACCCTTATACCTATTGGAATGTTTTAATTCATAATAAAATAATTAAAAATAATAAAAATTCGTAAAATATACCAAAAAATTAATAAAAATATTTTGAATAATAATAAATTTTAAAAAAAAAAATTTTAAAAATAAAAATTAAAAAAATTTTAAAAAAAATAAAAAAAAAAATTTAAAAAAAAATCAAAAAAATATTTTTTTTGTCACCGCCGCCTCTGCCGCCCCCAGCACCACCACCTCTAGTCATTTGGGGAAAAAATGCCAAATTTATTATGAATTCCATATTTTTGGCATAATTCAGAATGATTTAAGATGGAAAAAAAAAATGTTGGCATTCTCAAGGAGAAATATGCCATATTTTTGGCATTTTCCGAAAAAAATGGAAGTTTGTAGGAAATATGACTTTTTTTTAACGGTCGGAGGTGGTGGTGCAGGGAGGCGGTACCACCGCCTCCTGTCACCGGGGTAAAAAAATGCCAAAAAAATTATGAATGCCATATTTTTGGCAAAAGTCAAAAGGATTCAAGTTGGCAGAATGAAAATGTTGGCATTCTCATAGAGAAATATGCCATTTTTGTGGAATTTAAAAAAAAAAGTGGCATTTTTTACACCGATCGGAGGTGGTGGTTCAGGGAGGTAGTACAGGCGGTGGGAAAGGTATCCATATTTTTTTTAATTTTTTTAATGGAGTTTTACTATTTTTTATTAATTTTCAAAAAAAATAAAAAAATTAAAAAAATATTTTTTTTCTTATTTTTTATTTTATAAAAATTTTATTAATTTTTTTATTATTTTTCTACGAATTATTGAATTTTTTTCAAATTTATTATGAATTAAACATCTAATTATGACTTTTAACTATATTTTACTAATATTTAAAGGAGGGGTAAGAATGGAAGGAAGAAATGAGTATGTTTCCAATAGGACCACTATGGTCCTATTTTGGAATAAAAAACATAGCAAGTCCTATTTTGAGTTTTTGCCATAGTTTTAGTCCTATTTGAAGTAATTTCTAAAATTCAATTTATATTCTTCTAGTTAATTGTGGGACATATACTAAGCCTCATTGAAGAGTGTCATTTTTTTGTGTGAATTATTAGGTGGTATAGGACTTGTGTAACTTTACCATTATAAAGTTTGGTATTCCGTTTCAAAAAAATTGCACCTCCTTTATTCTTCCTGTCTTTTCCCAAAGACTTTTTCCACATCTTTTGCTGTCTCAAGCCTCAACTTCCAAAAAACACCAAGACCACCTCCTCTCCTCTCCCCCTTTTCATGAAAAAAAGAAAGAAAAGTGAATAAAGAAGAGGCAAAGGAAAAAACTAAAAGGCCCAGAAGGCCACACAAATGCACTCCTCCTCTATATGTTCTGTCACACCCTTTTCTCTGGTTCCCACTTGAGGTAGATAGGTAAGCAAGCTACTCGTTCTGAGCTAGGGATTTCACAGTTCAATCCCCCCACCAATGATGCAAATCTTGAATCTTCATTGGTACTGAGAAACGATTCCCCCCCCCCCCCCTCTAAATCATAAAGGAGAAAAATGTCCGCCATGACTAGAGGTGGTGTGCTTCTGTTTCTCACGCTCCTCCTGCTCCTATCTGGGTCTCTGTCTTCTGCTGCAGTCTCTCCCTCGCCTTCAAGTAAGTGTGTCGAGAAACACGTGTCTGTTTCTGTATCTGGCTTTTCACTTTAAGGCGCATCTGCCATTTGATCTAACTTGCTTCAATTTCGAATGGCTCATCTCCTAACATCTGGTGTGTACTTATGATGAGCTGTTTTCCACTTTCTTAATTTGGGGAGCAGGAGTTGTGAATGGTTTTTTGTCAAATGCGGTATCTAAGCTGATGAAATGGTTTCGGTCTTTCAGGGCTACTACTAAAACAGGTATGAGATCCACCTACCCAGGCTTAGTTAGATTTTCTGCCCTCGTTGTTTATATTTAGGTTTTCAGTTTGATTCGGTATTGTCTGGTTCATGGGGTGCGCAGTGGCTTCTAGCCGTCCGATGGTGAAGTTTGAGAGTGGGTATACAGTGGAAACTGTTTTTGACGGAAGCAAGCTTGGGATTGAGCCTCACACGGTGGAGGTCTTGCCCAGTGGGGAGCTCCTCATTTTGGATTCTGCTAACAGTAATCTTTACAAGATTTCTTCCGCTCTCTCTCAACGTAAGTCTCCGTTATTTTTGAAGATTTTTATCTTGTTTGGACGTCGGGCACCCTCAGACACGATAAAAAGTTATTATTCAGAAACTGATGCTAACAGTTTACCGGAGTATTTAATTTTTTCTTGATAAAGGTGATCAATGTGAAAATGACGCCCACTAATTACTCCTTATCAACAGAAAATCCCATTTTAGGATTCTCATAGATTTGCCAAAAACCATTACCGCTACTTGATACTCATATGATTGATTTTTAGCTCGTGGGGTATTTGCAAAGTTTGTCCTCTTTTGGGTGGACACCCTGGCCTTATTATTTGTTTAATCACTTGATTGATGAGTTCATATACAGTACAAGCATCCAGCCACAGAGCATATTCTCTTTTAGTGTCGCTCTACTGTAACATAACTTACTTTGTAATTATTTTTCTGGTTCTGCTAAGACATGAAGGGTCCCCCCGAAAATACTAGGGGAGAAAACTCACGAACTATAAAATTAGTAAACAGAGGAAAGATGAAAGAAAACGTTAGGCTAAACTCAATTCATTTTAGATATCTGTTGATGCTCAATTTGTTTATTTATACAAGTACTTAACTATCTATTGTCTAATACTCATAAGAAAGTAATAAGTTTATATTTATGTAAACTCAAAAACAATTAATGATTTTTTGTTTACCCTTTCATTTTCCAAACACTATAAATCACCTACATTAGCAATTTGTTCCTTTCCTTTCTTTTTACTTCAGCACTCCTTTTACGTGCTGATGATTCAAAACCCAACTATATATTTTCCCTTCATTATGCTACAATAGTTCAGTTTTACTCCAGGTTAGCAAGCCTGCAACCTTGTTAATATCGGCTGCCTTGTTCAAGGTTTGCTGTGATTTATATATATTATTTTAAACCACTCGTGTATCTTGTAAAATATATATATATCCTTATATATAAGTATTTTAAAATCAACTCGGGAAAATTGTTACAGACACCAGACCAAGGTTGATTGTTGGTTCTGCGGATGGATACTTCGGACACGTGGATGGTAAAACGAGAGAAGCAAGGTTGAACCATCCCAAGGGGCTTACTGTTGATGACAAGGGAAATATTTACATCGCAGATGCTGATAATATGGCAATTAGGAAGATTAGTGAAACAGGTAATTCAATACATTTGTTTTTCATATGCGGAGAAGTGTATTCCTCCCCATAAGCTCTTTAGCATGTGGTCCTTCTACAGTTACGTTTGAGTGGAAGGTTTTAGAAGGAAAGTCTTTTGATGGCCTACTCTGCATTCTCTACCTTGATATATACTCCCTCCGCCCCTTAAAAAAGGACCCATTTTGGTTTACGAAGTTTGACTGGTAATAAATTTAACCAATCCCCAGGAATACCCAGATTAGTTTTAGCAAATAAAGTTTACATATTAAGAAAGTACATTAAAAGTTTACGATAAAGTCACAAAAAAAAATTCAAATTTGATAAAAGCTGGACTGTTGGATATCTAAACAAAACCATTATGAACTATTTGACTTGACCATAGAATAGTAACCAGGTACTTCCTGTAGGGACGGAGGTAGTAGTTGAGAATTTATTACATGTGCGTGTATACATTTCTGCACACATGCAGTCTTATAAAAATCAAAGATTAATATAGCATCTGTTCGTATCAAGCCCTATCTCTTATTCTCTTGTAACCTTTTAGCATGTTTTTATATATCAAGGGAGTTATATATAATATATGGTAGTAAATAAATGATATGGACATATGTACTACTCCCTCCGTCCCATTTTGTAAGATACATTTTCCTTACTTTTATTAAAACATGTGCCAAAGGTAAATGTATCATACTTTTTGGGACTGAGGGAGTACTAGTTTATCATTTTATATCTTTTATTTGTAAATAGTATAACGTTCAAACACTGTTTTCTTGAAGTGAAGATAACACCCCCAAACAAAACCTCCAACCAAGCAGACCCTTACAGACTTTGAAAGTGGCAAGTTTTCAAGCAAACAATTTTTCCTTGTGCAGGAGTAACAACAATTGCAGGAGGCAAATGGAGCCGTGGAGGTATGGGTCATGTTGATGGACCAAGTGAAGATGCAAAGTTTTCAACTGACTTTGATGTGGTCTATATTGGAAGTAGTTGCTCTCTCCTTGTCATAGATAGAGGAAATCAAGCGGTCCGGGAGATCCAGCTTCATTTTGATGATTGCGCTTACCAGTATGAAAGTAGCTTTCCTTTAGGTGAATAAAGTCACACCTTTTCTTCGTTCATGTTTGGGATACACTTCTTTTGGTGCATTTCCTTTTAGTGAGATTTTCCACTAAACGCCAACTTATTTCAATGTGCTGGTTGAATGGGTTGATAATGACAAATATAGTGCTAAAGTTACCTTTTCATTCACAATGACTGAAATTAAAAAAGTGACATTTCAACCTTCAATTTTAGACACTCCCTCTGTTCCTACTTATTCTTCCCTATTGAGTTGTCATCATTCTTAAGAAAGGGAAAAATGTGTGGTTGATATTCGCTCAAACGAGAGAAATATGACTAACCACAAAACCTTTCCTTCGAAGGAAAGAAGAGATAATATAACAAATAGAAAAGGAGATAAGAGATAATATAGGAACAAACAGAAAGGAAAATACAACAACATCCAAGCCTTTATCTCAAAGGATTTGGAGGTCAGCAAACAGAAAAGGAAAATATGAAGAAAAAAAGAGAGTTCAGAATGAGTATCATTTCCCTCTTCGAAATATAGTTCAAAAATACATTTTGAGTAAACATTTTAGCTTATTAATACGTGTATTTAGCCACATTTTCAGCCACTAGTCATTTTAGGTGAATCAAACAGGCTCTTTGTTGTGTTTTACTACATTTATTTAATCGATACTTGTGGCATGTATTGATACTTGTGAACTTGGCTATACTAGGTATTGTAGTACTTTTGGCAGCCGGCTTCTTTGGTTACATGCTAGCGTTGCTCCAGCGCAGAGTGGGAAGCATAGTATCTGCTGAAAAGGTGAGTGTTAATTACTGTTAAATCCTTCAAGGAAAACAGCGTTCTAAAAATAATTTGGGGGGTCTAGAGCATAATTGGGGTTTCAATGGGATTTAGAGGGGCATAAATATGACTAGCTGGGGTTATTAAATTGGGCTCAACTCAATCCGAAAGTATATGCTGACATTTATCTCACACTTATATATATAGGAACATGAATAGAGCTAAAAATTGGAGCATTCGTTTGACGTCTTATGTCACAAAAATAGTTGTGTTTCAAGAACTACTTAATACGCCCCTAAAGAGTCCAAGATTCAGTAGTGAACTTCGATTATTAAGTAAATTCTTATATAGCCAAGCAACAATTGATTTTAGTGTATTAATCCTCTCTAATCATTTTGGTACTACGGGTTAGTTGTTGATGTTGTTGTAATCCTCTCCAACCATTTTGAAATTAAGCTTAGGGGGGATAAGTGACCAAATGGCCATTAATAACTTTTAAACGTCGTATGCCTTCATTGAGTTGGCAAAAAATTAAAATTGTAATTTAGTCACACAGGAGACTCTTCTATTTGGAGTACTGGGAATAGATCTCAAGATTACAGTTCTATGCATCCGACAGTTATTCACAGCTAAAAAGAAATACGGAGTATCGTATTATTGAGTCAATCCTTCTCTCTCTCACATGTCATATTGTCTTGGAAGGTTGAGAAAACGGCTGTTACTTATAATCCATATGAGAAACGAGTCATGGCATCGTCGGCGACAGCAATGCGACCTCGATTCCCACATGATGGCCCGGAGGAGAAGCAAGAAGAGACCATCTTGGGATCCATGGGGAAGCTGGCTGTCCATGTGGGAGAATGTTTGGTTGACATATTTGGAAGCATTTTCCCCAAGAGGAAGCAGCAAGGATGGCAAGCTCAGGACAGCTATGTGATACAAGATGGAGATGAACCGCCTTCCATTGATTCAAGGTCACCAACCCCACTAAAGATGAAGAACTACGCTTTCATGACAGAGGCCGAGGAGACGGCACAAAAGCTTAAATGGGGAGCAGGAGTTGTGAATGGTATTTTGACAAGGGAGTCCTCTGAGTTATACCACCCGACTAGGAGGCAGCAACATCTGAATCACCACAATTATCTTTCGGCCGGGCCAGAAACTGTCTTTGAGCAAAGCCCAGAAAGAAAAAATGAGGTTTTATTTGGGGCCGCGGTGCAGGAGGCTGATGGGACCCATGGCTATACTAATAACTATCATTATGGTTATGGTTATGGGCAGTAATCACATATGTACAGAAGAATTTGCTTCTTCAATGGAACCAATGATGTATAGCATTATGAGCCTAGGAAAAAGATTTTGGAAAACAAAACAAATATGGATGTATTCAATTATTATTGGTGTCCCATTCATGAGTCGCCGACTTTTGTGTCTACTATATTATATCTGATCTGATGTTATAAAAACGGAGTATTAGTATGTATTTTTTTTAAATGATGTATGATGTTTATTTTTTAATCTTATAAATGATGTATATCCATTATTCATTAATTTCTTGAATGAGTAAATGCGTTTTGTATTTCCTAATTATGATACCTTTACGGGTAGTAACGTCAAAACTATGAGTATTACCTTCAATTGTGTGGGAGGGGTGATACTTCCTCTTGATACCGTCATTTAGCTCATTAGCATGTGGGCTTTGCTCATTCCATTTGCTAAAAGATTTGACCCGGCCCACTTCTTAAGTGGGCAAAGAGTAGAGTACTGAAAAACAGAAATGATGTTTGTATCCACCTTTACACTCAACATGTCTGTGAATTCAATTCCCAGACAAAATAAAAAGCCTTCACAGGGAATCACATGTGTGAGTATAAGGATGAGTATAACCAGAATCGTTGATTAGTCACTATTCTGTGATAACTACTACGGAGTATATAATAGGAAAAAGTGTTTGTACACACTTTTTGTACACTACATACTCATGTCTTTTAACATATACCATGAAGGTAGTTGAGGCTGCGGCCTTGGTAAGCACACAACGAGGTTACATTTAAATGGTCTAGACTGATCCAGCAAGCCTGAGTTTTTTAGAAAGCCTCGGTGGTACCTTAGATTTTTCAAGACGGGCGTGTTTGTGTAATCCGGCCATTGTTTGAAGAACACAATGCAAACCCTGGCTTGTAAAATGAATGAATCATGAATGAATGATGAGAGGGTTGTACAAAAACAACTTAAAATCCCTTATAATTTGAGCAATAACAATACCGTAGAAACTCTAAAGTGTCAAAATATAATCTCTATTACATTCTAAATTTCTAATCGTATTTGAGGTGGCGTGGGACACAAACACGTCATCAAGATAAAGAGTAAAATGTGTATGCAATGAAGGTGTTTTTGGTGTTTGTTTTTCATGGAGAATTAACAGGAAGGAGCTGCTGAACCAGGAAAGTGAGTATGTTGCGCAGAAGCAACAAGTTTGTCTTTCTTGGACCAAAGCCAAATCTTTGAAATAGAAAAGCTCTCACCTTTACTCCTCATGTCAATAATCCTCTTCCCATCACTACTATCCACATCACCGCTCAAATTCCCATTCAGCCCTCCACCTCTCCATCCCACCTTGTTCATCTGTCCACCACCCCAGAAGCCGCTACTACCAGCTTCAAGACCGAACGATTCAAAACCACCTGATGGAGGCAAACCCCGCCCCTCCATCTGAGGACCGCCACATCTTCTAAGTCTGCTCACCTCCCCAACTCTACCACCACGACTGGCTGGAGAAAGTGCCACTTGCAGCTCTGAATCACCAACCACCACATACTGAAAAGAACCCATTGAGTAACACCTCCTTGCACTCATATTACGGTTACCGCTGGTCTCTCCTTCTTTCCCTTCACCATTGTTGTTTCCACTCCTAAACTTCCCAAGCCTCACCGAAAACACCCTCCTTTCACTCACAATGGATGATGCATCTTCACCCGGTCTAGAACTAGAAACCCCTTCGTCATCATCATCCTCATCAATTCTTGAATCATCAAAACGGAACATTGGGTTCTCAATGCAAATATCAGGGGGGAAAAGGACCCCTCTGCAAAGTGGGCAAGTTGAATTTGACAGCAACCAGGTGTCTATACAATCCATATGGAAGGCATGGCTGCACAGAGGTAACAGCCTGAGATGGTCTTGATCTGTGAACTCACAGAGACAAACGGCACAGTCAAATGGCTCTTTCAGACCCATTATATCTTTGTATGTGAAAAGTGGGAGAGAATCAATGAAGGCTTGATCTAGACCTGAGTCATGAAGATGAAAGAGCTGCTGGAGCTGTCTTTGAACCACGGTCCCAGAGTTTGGGATTTCTTGAGTCCTGCTGGATTGGGAGGAGGAGAGGGATTGCCCGCGTTTCTTCATGAGGAATCTAACAAGCAAGTGGAGAAGACCAGAGATGAAGAAAATCAGAGATAGCATCACTATTATGAGAAGAACAGCTGGGCTGATTTTAGTACCAGAAGATGGTGGTAGTTTTGGGGGAGTTGAATCTCTCTGGGGAGTATTACAGCTGGGAGTTGAACAAGGGTTCACAAGGACATCTTTTGGGTTGGACTCGTATTGAGGCCTACGCATCTTAGAAATCTGGGAATCCAAATGAACATCACTTTGGCCAACTATTTCTGGATCAAGTTGACCTTTGTCTGTTCAATAACAACCACCAACTATATCTGCAACAAATTGAGCCACGTTTCATGGCAGTGATATAGAATCAGGTATGAATGTTTCGAACAACTTTGATTGAATTCCACAGAAGAAGACCGAACTAGTGATGAGAGAAGAAAAAGAAGACCACTTTGTCAAATTTTCAGTTTACCTAGCTGACGCCACAACTTGAACTAAGCTATTCCTAGTTTCATGGGAGAGGAGATGTTCGTGAATCCCTAGTCCAATTGATTCGTGACGGGTTTGGAGCTTTTGCGCATTTGTGGAAGGAGAGAGAGATGTATATTAGTGCGTAAGAGATAAAGCAACTTAGGGTGTGTTTGCAAACTCTTTTCAAAAGTGCTTTTAGCTTTTTTTTAAGAAAATAGCCAAAAATGGTGTTTGCATACCCAACTTTCAACTTAAATTTAAGCACTTAGAAGCCAAAAGTTAGAAGTAGGGTTGGGGGTGCTTTTAATTGCTTCCAGGTTATTTTGTAAATAACATCAACTTTAAGGACAGTCTTCACCACAATTATTTTGCCTTATTCCAGCCCTACCCTCGATCTTACGTATTATCTGTCCCAGAGTTCAACGTTGCCTCCCCTCCCTTCATTTGCTTGCGTGTGAGAGCTAAGCTATCTTCACCATCGCCGGCTTTCTCCTCCGTTCCCTCCCTTGGTTGTTTATGCCCATTGTTCCTTCCAACATCGTTTAAATCAACGGAGAATGAAAAGAAACCCTTGAGTAGAGGCGGAAGCTCCAATATATATATACAAACGAAATCAGAGTTGTAGAAGAATACATTCTTACCTGATTTGAGAAGGAAGCTCCAAAATCTGGGAAACAAAAGCCTTTGCTGCGGATTTCGGGACCTGGGGCTGGAGTAGCGGCGTATTTCATTCAACAACGATGAATTCTGATTTGGGGATCGGGCAGAACAAATTTATCGCTAACCTACGTGGGAAATGTTAAAAAAGGGTATTTTTGTACTTTTCATTAAAATATACCATCACAATCACTTTTTTATCAAACACTCCAACTTTTACATTTTAATTAGAATCACTTCTATTCCCAAACACTACGAACTTTTACTACAAATCACTTTTCCAATAATCTCTTAAAAAAATCACTTTTAAAAAGCACAAGCAATCGCAAACACTCCCTTATTCGCATCCTCACACGCTCTTGCCCACCGCAGACATGGTGGTGGTGGTAGGAACTCGGAAATGATGCTAGCTGTTCTCTCTGGAGTATTCCGCTTCACACATTCATATACTCCCTCCGTCGTTTGACTTTCACTTTCACTGTCATAATTTCATTATCCAAAACTCTGTAATAGAAATGTTTACTTGTTGATATTTAAAAAATGCCAAATATTTTGTACGCACGAGTTCATACATTTAGTTTTTGAAATATACATCGTATATAAAATCTAGGGGCGGGAAAAACCGAACCGAAACCCGGAAACCGACCCTGGACCTACCCGAATTATGACCCTGGTCCGGGTTTTTTTCTTTTTAACCGGCCCGAATTAAAAATATCCGGACCGAACCCGAAATTCCGGGCTCATTAACGGGCCTTAAAATCTATAATCCGGCCTGGACCGAAAAAAACCCGAAACAATTAGCTTTAATATAAAATTTGATGGATAGTCTACCCGGGGGTATCTTATCCGAAGGGTTATTGCGGGACTAACTAGAGAGAAGTCAGAGTAAATAGGAGGAAAGAGAGTCAATTTTATTAAATGAACTCAGCGTGGTTTACAAGGTGAATAAGGGCTGCTATTTATAGCAGCAATAAATGCGATGAGAGTACACGTGTCAGTAATCCAACGGCCGAAGGGTCACATCAGCCGGGTGGCACCGGCAGTGGTACGTTAACCGCATTGAATGCGGTTGGCGGATGTGACGTGGCATTAAATGCGGTGGTTGGCTGTCTCCAAAAGGAATCTTCGATGATTGAGCGTGTTTGGCCGAAGGCTCCTTGTGTAGCCGAGGGCTCCATGTGACCAAGGACCCCTGTGTAGCCGAAGGCCTTGTGTGACCGAAGGCTTGGTTCAGCCGAAGGCTTCTCTGATGCCGAGGGCTTGATAATACCGAAGGCTCATGTTTTTCGCCGTTTTCTCCCAGTAGCTTCTTATGAGTTATGTCAGAGAAGGCTATCCTGTGAGTTTTGGAGCCTTCGGCCAAGGAGGCCGAAGGCACCCCAGCGTGTATTCTGGGCCGCCTCGAGGCTTGGGCCGATGCATTCGGGCCTGAGCTGTTCTCTGGGCTCAATGGACTTGTGCAGGAGAAATAGGAGTCTATGGGCCGGGGGCTCCTGGGCCATATACTCCATCAGGAGTCCCTCACTCCTTTTGCCGAAAGGTACTTGAGGGAAAAGGAGTAGATGTGTTGATTCTTCTGGAGGCTTTGTCATTTAGTTGGGCGCCTTTGCTTGAGAACTTGCCTTCTGCTGATTGCCGAAGGCTTCCCTCAGTCCTTCAATTGTCGAGGGTTTTCTGAGGGAAGTATAACACCTGTATGACTGGCGAAGGTTTTCCTCAGTCCCTCACATGTCGAGGGTTTTCTGAGGAAAACATAGATGTATTGCCTGCATGTGTTGTGATGAGGGCTGCTTCATTTCCACAAGTGATTTGGTATCAAAATTTTGATACTTGTTTTCTGCCGAAGGGGTTTATTGAAGTATGTACCCGAGGGTTTTTACTTTGATGTTTGCTCGGAGGCTGTATGCGTCACTTGTGAATTTGCTGCATTTGGGAATTTTTGTTTATTTCATGTGTGATCCCCGAGGGGTGTGTCCCAGTCCCCCACTCCTTTAGGCCAAAGGCGAGTTCGGGCTGAAGGAGTCGTGATGTGTTGACAAGCTCCCGAGGGGTGGTAACATTGATAAGCCGAAGGCCTACGCTGCTACGGGCTCGAAGGCGTTTGGTGGAATTCGTTGGCTGAAGGCTGCGGAGAGTGGTAGCCGGAGGCTACCCTCTGAGGGCACCCTAGTGTTTCTGAAATATAGCCGTTGCAATATATCCGTTAGAAGAGGGGTTGACGTGGCGTGTCCTCGTTGGCTGATGGGGGGCGGGTGTCGTCCATTGGTTAAGGCGGCGGCCCGTAATGATGGGCTTTTCAAATCAAGGCCCGTTTCTCGAGGCTGAAAACCTATATATACCCAAGGCCAGAGGCATAACTCTTGCGCGATTTTGTGATAGCGAAGCTCTGGCAAACTGGTTTCTAGAGAGAGAAAGAAATCCTTTTGATCAAACTTAAATCCCGAGGTCAGTTCTCCCACTTGTTCTTCTTGTACTTGGCATACTTTGTTATTCTTCCCTTTGATCCGGTGTTAGTGACCTTAGTAGCCTTCGGGTAAGGTGCTTAGGTAGCTCTTGTCCTTAGAAACTCTCGCCCTTAGTAGCACAATGTCTTCGCAAAGTGATTCTCAGAACATATCGGAGGAGGCCCCGATCCAATCCGAAAGCCTTTCCGAGGTGGAGTCCTCAAGTGAGCAGTCGTCGACGCGAAATGATTCCGCCATAGCCGAAGAGATCCAAAACAAGCTCCGGACTGAAGCGGAGGCTGAGGACTTCGAGCAAGTGGCCGAAGATGAGGAGATGGCCATTGCGATTCAAGTGGCCGAAGAAGAAGAAGAAAAAGAGCGCCGCCGGGTGACCATTGCAGTAATGCCCTCTCGAGGTGCTGGTGAGGCGAGCACCTCCCGGCCCTTGGACGTCCAACCCCTCCGCGTGGCTGAGGGGAAAAAGAAGAAGAAACCGAAGGCCGTTTCAAAGAGAAAGCAAGCAGCCGTCGACGCCGGGCAGCCGGTTGAGATCCCCGAGGGGCACTCTTATTTGGACACCACCGCTCTCGAGGTGAGGACTACGGCTTCGGGTGCCGATTATAATGCTCTCCAGATCCTGGTGGGGCCTTCGGCGCAGGTGGTGGAGCCGGGGCCTGATGCTTTGCTTTCCCATCCGCCCGAGGGGTGTTTCTCAGTGCACATGCTGTCGGTGGAGCTGGGGCTCAGATTTCCGCTCCATCCCGTCGTTGTGGAATATCTAAGGTTCGTGAAGTTAGCCCCCTGCCAACTCATGCCGAACAGCCACTACTACCTGGCTGGGTTCCTGGCTCTTTGCCGAAGCCGGAAGGTGGAGGCCACGCTAGACCAGTTCTTTCTCTCCTTCAACTTGTGCCGGGGGGGGGGGGGGGGGGGGGGCATTCGCACGCCGGGGGATATGCGAATCTGCAGCAGGTTCCGGCATGGAAACTCTTCTCTGAGACCCCCTCATCCCACAAAGAGTGGAAAGAGAAGTTCTGCTACATCCGGGTGGCCGAGAACCCCTTCCCGGGGGCCCTGCGCAATCATTTTAAGAGGCACCCGAAGGTGGGCAATGCAGCCCTCGACAAGGCTGGGAGGAAGCTCATCGAGAAGCCCCCGGGTTCTGATAAAGTGATCACCATCAAGGAGGCGACGCTCCCCGAGGAGCTATACTTGCTGGGCTTCCAGCGTTACCGCCTTCCGGGGGACACAGACGAAAAAAACCTCGAGATTGACCGAGGGTATCGAAATGCCGGAGGTTGTACCTCAGGGCCCTCGTTTTTGTATTTACAACATTTTCTTTGATTCGTTGTGATATTAACCCTTTCCTTGTTTTGGCAGGCGATATCATGGACCCGAAAGCATTTGCCAGGCTTTCCAACAAGCTGGCTAAAGGGAAGAAGAAGAAGGCTGAGGGGCCTTCCAACCAGAGAGCTGTGGAGGAGTTCTTCCAAAAGCCGGAGGCTGAAGAGAAACCTGAGGGCGAGGGGCCCTCGAAGGATGCTGGTGCTGGTGTTGTCACCGAAGGCTCCCACGTCCCGGAGCTTAAAAGAAAGAACGTCGGGAAGAGCACCAAGCCTCTGGAGAAGAAGCAGAAGAAGGGGGACGTCGAACGGAAGGCTCCCCCGGTAGTGATCATCGACGACCTTCCTTCTGGGAAGCCTTCAGGCTCCCTTCCGTTGATGGATTTGGACGAAGGGGCTTGGCCCCTTGAGAAGGTGCAGTTCCCCATCAAGAAGGGGACTGCTATCTTGCACGGCACCCTCGATCCGAGGGAATTCTTGAGGGGTGCCACTCCTCCCCTGGATCGGACCACCCTCGGCCGATTCGGGGACGAGGCCCTCGAGCTCAAGGCTCTTCAGGCCTCGGTCACTGTAAGTATTTCGGACCTTGGAATTTCTTGTTATTGTGTTCCTTTTCCCCTGCATAATCTGATCCCAGGTGCACCCTTATTTGCTTGCAGGCTAGTTTGGCCTTCGGGGAGCTTGTGAGGAGGGCT